CAAGGTCATCCTCGCCGTTGACACCCTCGCCGCTCACGATCCCGGCGTTGTTGATGGACAATTGACGATAATTGCCAAGCGCAAAAATGAGGCATATGGTGTCGTTTCCGACTCGACGGATGAAGTATTCTTGACGAGTTTATACGACTGGTATCTGGAGCAAGGCTGGAGCGATCGACTGCTGCAAACCAACTCGCCCTTCGTTGTGACCTACCTTGAGCGTAAATCAGCAGACGACCTTGCTCACGCGGATCTGCTTTGGCGGTACTTTGCTCAGTCGCAGCGGTTCTTTGAGGCAGCCAAGGTACAACTGGATCTGGCTCAGAGCGCGTTCACCCTTCCTCTCAGCCGTCGCATTGAGTACTTGGGCCGAGCCAGGGCCAACGCCTCCACATTCACGCCCGACACTAGCCGACAAGCCCGACAGCGACTGGTGCAGGAAACTTCCAACCTTATTGACATTGCGAACATCCAGGACGATCTCCTGCAACGCCTAAAGGACGACAGACGTCTTGCGCCGGAACGCCGGGCGGAAGTTCTCAAGGATGTGGACGGACCCATCAAGGACATTAGCACTGTACGTCATCAGCCCAACCTCCCCCTAGTCATTTACTTTTCTCTTTTCTTCTTGGCTAACATTTTCCTACAGCTCTTCAACCAATACGCCGACCCTGCAAGCTACTATGACATCTGTCTCCAGATATTTTTCCTGGCCGACCACCGTAACCCAGCCGATATCCGATCGACCTGGCAACACCTCCTTCAAGACCTGCACGATGAGGTCCTTGAACGGGGTGAGCCCATCCCTTACGAGGCTGTAATCGACAAGGTCCGCAGTTTGGGCAGCCGTCTGCGCATGTCCGAGTCTGTGTTCCCGATCCCTATTCTCCTACCCATGCTCGAGCGCTACGCCCTCGAACACCAGCGTGGTGTCGGTCCTGCAACATGGGTCATTGACCTCTTCCTCGATCTTGGCGTCGCCCACGAGACTCTCTACGCCGTCCTCGAATCCATGTACTACACCGATGAAGCTCCCTTCCAAGGTTCCAACAAGAAGTACATCGCCAAGGATCTTCTCTACCTGATTGAGCACTGGTTCCACGACACGGTCCGTCTCGGCGGCGTCGTCTTCGGAAGCGATCTCGTCGCTGAGCGCATCCTCGAAACCCTCCTTCTCCTCCAGCAGGGTGGTATCACTCCGGAACAAGTCCAGCTGGCACAAGAGTTGAGGACGAGAATCGATGATATTCTGCGGTGATTTGTCCGTCCCACTGGTTCCCGAATTTCATCGCTTCCCCGCCCCCCTCCTTCACGTATAGCAATGCAACCCAAACCCACTTCGATTATTTTTTGTTCTGTTCTGTTCTAGTCCTGGGCGTTGGAGTTTCGTGTATTTTCTTTCTTTTTATTTTCTTCATTATTTTCAATTTCTTGCATGCATGCAGCATCCAGAGAGTCATGTCGCGTCGAATCAAGTGAAGAGAAGTGAACTGAACTGAAGTGAAGTGCCAAAATAATCTCATCATATATTATATCATTTCCAAAGCCATCTTTCTGCCTTCCTTTCCTCCCTACTTTCCTGTCCATTTTCTGGGTATGATCAAAGGTGTATTACTAGTACTACAACTGGGTATTAATCAATGTAATCAATGTAAGATGATGATGATCATGACGTTTATCTAGCTGCATCTTCCTTATGGTGTGGACTGTACTACTTCTACTAGTAGTACTTACTTACCATATTAATATATATACATATATATATATAACCGACCTTGATTCCTCTGCCCATTCCGAGGTATTTATTATCACCACTACTAGTAGCAGTAGCAGCAGTAGTAACTACTAGTAGTACTAGTACGACCATTTTCCTAACTTAGATTTCGCCGGTGAATACTACTTAAGTACTAGTAGTAGGAGTACTACTAAGACTGGTGAGTGCTTCTCGTAGGCGTAGATTACTGATCGGCGGTTGTTCCTTAGTTTCCTGACTCGAGCCCAATTTCCAATTCCTGGATGCTTCACTGATACCTTATTATGTATTATTTCTGCTAAGCTCAGAGCTAAATAGTGAGTGGCTACTTACTACTACTACTGTGAAAATTGTTCGGTCCCCGCTTCCCGGGTGTTGGTGGATGGTGGGGGTGAGTGTATTCGACGAGGCTGCATACAATAATATATATATGGTGTACAGGGTACATCCGAGCAACATTTAACGTTTTTGAGTTTCGGTTTAACTACTTATTGACTACGCGTTCATTAATTGAAAGATTGTTTTTATTTTGATAATAAATTTATTTTGATATTTTTGACGCGTAAATATGATAATAACTGAAACTGGTAGATAATCAAAGAAATGAAGTCTATCGGGCTAACAAATTCAAAACAAGGAAAATGAAAAACAAATAACAGAGAATAAAGAAGAACATTGCTTTCAGACACGAAAATTTTAGATCAAAGAAAAATAAAGAAAAGGGAAAAAATAAAAATAAAAAGTACTAAAGTTTGGCCCCACTAGTTCTAGAGCATAGAAGCCTAAACAGGGCACAAAATAAGGTCACTAAAAGTAGGAATAAAAAAACCACATTAAACAGTCTAATGAACCAGGCCGAGGTATCAATCATAATCAAGCAGCCAAGCAAGAATCCAGGCAGAAAAAAGGGAAGAGGATGGATCAAAGAGGAAAGGATGAGAAGGAGGAGGGAGGATCAGGCACATGCGACGCGCCAAGGATCCGAAAGTCTGAGGGGTAGCGGGGAAACATCTTCCGAGCCTGCTGCATGGAACGTTATTGCTGGCAAGGCATCGCGGTGGCGTCCAGCACCCTTGACCTTCCGTGAGAACTAAGAGGTGCTGAGAACAAGGATAGAGCTCCTCGAACAGGTGGCGGAGGCCGTCGGGATTTACTCGAATTGGTCGTATACAGGGATGGGCTTTTCGCCCAATGCGCACAGACGGAAGATGTGACGGAGTTTGGCGCCGTTATCATCATCGAGGTAGTCGACAATGGCGGAATCTATTGCAAATATCCGTCAGTATTGCTTTTGGGTGCTTATCTTTGGTAGGTAACAAGGAACTCACGCGTTGTGCAGCGATTGTCGAAGATTACAATGGTCCGAGGCTGCCACCTCACTCGCGCCTGAAAGTCGTGCCCAGTGATGATATGCTGCATGAGGAAGTCCAGCAACCAGCGCTGCTCGGGCTCCTTCAGACCTTGAATCTTGGTGATGAACTCGCCGTTTACAAAAAGACATTTCTCGCCTGTGACTGGGTGGACGCGCACAAGCGGGTGGACGGTGTCGACGGCTTCTTTGCGTACCAGGCTCCCAGTCATACGTGCATGCTGGATCATTTTTGCCGATGAGTGGGTTGCGCGCAGCGTGTCCAACCAGGACGTGAGAGTTGGAGAAAGACGCCTAATTCATGCATTAGAATCTACCTGCCCGGCCCTGATTCGTCGCGCTTGAGGATGATACTTACTTGTATGCCATATCGGTTGCCGAGAAAACAGTATCACCACCTACTTCAGGTCCCTCCAGCAGCCCAAGCATCACATAGCCCGGGGGCTGGATCTCGTAGCTGACATCCTGGTGCCAGAGTGTCGTAGTAGTGCGCTGCGACAGGAAGCGAGTGATCTCCTCGCGGTTGCCGTCGCGATGGATGATATGGAAACCTGGATGCCCGCGCATTGAGCCAGAGACGGGCTGATAATTGGGCTTGCCAAAGTGACGCATGAAAGCCTCTTGTGCCTCAGGACCATCATCAATGAGGTCCTGGTCCGGGAAAGCTACCACCTTGCGTTCGGCAACCAAAAGGGCAAGCTCATCTTTCTGGGCATCCGAGAGCTGGTTGAGCTGAACGCCTTCCACGATGCTACCAATGCGCGGTTGGATCTCCGTCACTTTTGTGCCGGGTGACAGAAGATTGCGCTTGGACTTATCCTTCACGCGAAGGGCAGGGTCCTGATACTCAAAAGGAGGAAGAGGATCGAACCACACTTTGTCCCACGTGGGAAGGTATTCGGGGTATCTGGTGCGTAGGTGAGACTCCTTGGTGACATCCACGTAAGGTATATTGATGTCGTAGCTGATCGGCTCCTCCTCCTTATGGGCATTGATGGGAAGAGCCTTCTTGGGCCGTAGGACAGGCGCAGAGGACGGCATTATTGCGGATGTGCGTGTTGACTGGTGTGTGCTCTTGTGCGAAGGAAGTATGTACGTAATGTAGTGTTTCTCAAGGCCACAAAGAGGTTAAGCGGGACGTGGACGTCAAGAAATATGAAAGTGAGCTAGGAGGGAAAAGGAAAAGGACAGAATTCGAGAAATCAAGGTCAATTGAAGTCTCTGGAGATGGATGGGGAAGAGAAGAAAGTTCAGTCGAGGGTGGACGAGAGATGAATATATATCTGATCAGATACAACCTCCACCGGCTCGATATGGCGATAAAGGGATTGCACAAGCAGTAAACACGGCCAAGTGTGGATGATATGGCCGCAGCAGCGCCAATGGCAATGCATCCACCGGAGGTTCGCTTAGAAAGAGTTAGACCAGGGATTATCCCTTTCAATTTTCCGGACCGGGAAAGCTTGGGCTGGTAGATACGCCCGATTACTACTGCTACTACTACTCAAGGCGGGCACAAAAAAAGGTCGTCTCGAATCCATGACGACAGGGGTACAAAGTTGGTGCCGGACGGGTCTCGACAGATGAGAACAGCGGTCATCGTAGGGGGGTGAGGGGGCGGCGGCAAAGGAATGAACCACTCAGGAGCCAGCATGGCACAAGCAGTGTCTGGAAAAGGTGAAGGGGAAGAGAGCATACAAAGTGACGAAGAGGCCAGAAAGGGAAGAGGCAGGCCGTTCGGAACAGGGACCGAGACGAGCAAGAGATGCACGACGGAATTGGGAGAAGCGGTCAAGGTCCAATGAATAATAAAGAATGGGGCATCGGCGCGCCCACTCCAAGAGTATAGCTTCCTTCCCGCATCGGACGACAAAGGGCTTACAGCAGTAGAGAGTTGTCCGGCATGGCAACGACGATTGTCTTCTCGGAGCTAAGCCTGACCGACCGCAGAAGCGATAGCGATTGGACCTGCCGATACTTCGATGGGAAGGCACTGTCTTCTCCCTGGACCCGGCGTGTTCCGGGGGACTGGCTCTCAACTGTAAATTGTTCCATTCGATGTGGTTCTGGTGTGGTTTCACCGCTCTGATCTAGCGAACCCGGATGAACGATAAGCAGCCAGAGGGCCTGCAAAGAAGGCAGAGGTGGAGCCATGCGGCCGGCACGTTGGGCCAACATCATTAAGTTTGAGTCTGTTCCTTCTAGGGTAGACGGCACTAGATCGCGGGATTTGTCCTGTGCAGTAGTGGGAAGGAGTACCATTACTTTCAGCAGCAGCAGCAGCAGCTACGGTAGCTCTGCTATCTTGCATTAGTCCTTGCATCGCTCGACAGAAGGACGATGGTAAAACTCCCGGCTTCGAGGCCGCAGCTGCTTTGTACTACTGTAGCCTGTATGCGCTCTGCCACAGGTAGCCATTGCCAATAATCCAGGAATATTGCAGCCCCTCTGCTAATGTTTGGTTGGTGGAAACCGTTTATCTCATGTCAAGAGGGCGCATGCGTACTCAGTACAACATTGTGAAGGGGGTTAGAGTAATTTGTGTTCCACTGCTGTTTATTCCAAAGCACGAGAAAATGTTATTATTTTTTCTTTTTTTTTTTTTTTGGGTTGTTGAATTGTTTGCTTTTTTTTCTTTTTCTTTTTCCTTTAATTAATTTTTTTTCGTTATTTCTTTTTCTCAAAATTTCTTTTTCCACGGTGAAATTTTTGTTTGGGGTAATGCCTGCTCTCTTTCTCGCAGTATCCTGGTGGTGATCGATCGCGTCAACTCAATCGAACAAAAATAGTGCCGACTTCCTGGCTCCAGTTTATTTTGGAGCCACAATGCCGAGGAGGCACAAAATCGACTCAGCGCATACCCACTGTAGCTTCCCCGAAAATTTGATGTGTTCGCTCTCTCTCTCTCGGTTTTAGTGACGCCTTTGCGTATCCATGCTGCCTCTTCAGGGAAGCAAACAACACTGGTGTCAAAATTTTCCTTTTCAATAAAAATGGTTAAGATTTTTTTTTAGCTCACTTGCGGAAGGAGTGAGCACCCGTGTAAGCCAAAAGGGTCACACATAGACCCGGTTTGGGCTTCCACCCAACGGGCGAAAAACTTGCTCACAGTATCCATCCATCCTTCGCATCAAGTCCAATTTGAACCAGGGTGGAACAGACAAGCCTGGCCGATCTTCTCGCGCGCAGAGCCAACGGAGCCTCTCGCGCGAGTTGTGACGTTGGCTTTCATTTCGGGAATGCGGTTCAATGTCCGTGGACTATTGGGTTTCTCCACCGAGCCACGTTAATGTTCCATAATCGGTAGAGATGGGCCGCGGAAGGTCATCCAGGCTATCTAGAACATTTCCCAGATGGCGTCGAAGGCCCACAGAAGCCTCGAAGGAAGGATGCAGGAGAATTGGTCTGATCATAATGTACGACTGTGTCCGCCCAGTTGTTCAAGCCACATCATGTCCGCGTTTGAGCAACCTTCAAGCTCAGAGCTTCCGAGTCTGGAGGGGTCGAATTGCAATTGAGACCAAGTTTTCTTTCGTGTCATCCGTGTTTCCGTCGTAGGGCCTGAGTGCTTTGTCTTTCATTGATCATATCTACTACCTATCCAAGTTAGTCCCTTCCTGCTGCCATTCGAGACAACCTAGGAAGAAGTATGTACTTTGTCGATTGATGCCCGTTCAAGGTGTCACGTCACTGATTCGTTGTCCATGAGCTATCTCTTACGAAATATTATCCCAACTGGTGCATGGGGTACAAGAAATGTCAAAGGATTCCCAAGTTTGGTGCCGGTGGGTACGGTGGATGTGGATAGTCAACTACTGGTTGAGGCTGGCGACTATTCGCAGGGTGTTCTTGCGAGATACAGCAACTAGATAGCACCGGCGGTCAAATTTGGCCCCAAGTTCCGGGGAAAGGGTCGCTGTGACCTCCAAGGTACGTACTTAGTGACTAGTGTCTACCCTGGGAGTCGGGCGACGCATTTCCGGCTGTTGGAGACTAGCCCACTCTGTGCGAAACACTATGCGACAATGGACTGACGGACGGTGGTGCAAAGTGTGGCGCTAAGTGTAAGCTTCCCGTCGTCCGCCCACACAACGATGTTCTAGGAGGACCGAGCCAAATCATGAGATAGGGGACCCAGGTACATTTTGACGTTCGAGGACATTTCCTGGATCAGGTTGCTTTGTCTGCAGAATGCATGCTATTATTGAGAGACATGGTGGGATCAGCGTGCAGGTGGCGGATACCAGCTGCTCAAATCCTTGCAGTACTTTTGTTTTGATGCGTAAAATTGAGTCAAGGCCGATTCCGGGCCAAGAAGGAAGTCCAGAGGCACAAGATCAGCCCCAAGGGAAGGGGGAGGGGCAGGCGCCACAACTAAGGGATCCTGGGCTCCAGTAGAGGACTTTCGCACCACAAGCTTTGCCGGGAGTCGGAGGTCACAACGAGTAAGCTGAAGGCAGGGTTCGAGAATTGCGGTGAAGACGCCCAGTTTATCGGGCCGCCCTGGAATGAGAGATCACCATGAATCTATGACCGATGGCTTGAGGGCGGAGCTGGACCAGCTACCAGGGTGGACATGGCACTAGGATGTCTCACACAACGATAAGATCGAAGAAGAATATATCGATATATTATTCAACACCATATGCAAGGCCGATGAGTTCTGCTAAAAAAGCAAGCCTGTGGGATGGGCGAAAGAAACAATTTCTGTTGTTTTATTTCAATATTTCATACTTTTGAGCTCGTTAAACCGTTGGGTCACCACGGCTGGTTGATGGTTGACAGTGGGTTAAACTCACCTTACCCGAGCAGCCATGATTGTTGATTGAGCGATAGCTGAACTGCGATCCACACGGCTAAGCTTAAGCTATGTTTAGGGACTGCCTGAGACGCGTGCAGTTTTGGAAAAAGCAAACATTCTGCCAAAGTAGTGAGTATTAGGTAGGTTCTCGGACTGTCTTTTCCAGCCGATCGGGTCTGGCGAACGGCGGGGATTTTTCTCGATGGTTTCTTTTTCATTCTTTATTTTATTTTATTTTTTTTTTTTTATTTTCTCATGGTAGTTGCTTTTTCCGTTTGCTTCGTTTGCGTTTTACTCTTCTCGGAGAGAGAACCCGTGACGGTCAGCTGACCCGCTTTCTCGCTCTTTCCTCTTCTTCTTCTTCTTCTTCTTCTTCTTCGCACATATCAGATCCTTTTCTTCCACATCCTCCAGCAAGTTAGACTCTACTAGCTTACCACTTAGCTGTCAAACGAAACTTTTCGGCCGGACGAAAGGGACCCGACCTATCTACAGCCTACGCCCTACGTTTCTAGATAACCGGGGACACCTTCTCTTTTACGCAATCCCGAAAACCCAGAATGGCTTTTCCGACTGCTCCCGCCTCCTTGTGGAGCCGGAAACGCGACTTGATCTACTTCTCCTTCTTTGCTATTCATGTCCCCATCATTTTTCGTAAGTCGGTCTAAAGTTGCCCCCCTCCCCCCTCCCCCCTTCCCACTGATATACACTCGTTTACGTAGTCCCGAAACCCACTAACTCGCTATCAATCAATCAATCTTCCTAGTGGTCGACGCAGCCCCGATCCTCCCCACCGCCCTCCAATCCAACCTTTCCCACACCCTCCGACAGTTCTACATCGATACGTATCATGACAAGTTCTTCGAGGAGCCACCAGCCCCCTGGTTTTACTTCTTCATTCTTATGGAGCTGTTCTACCATGTGCCCGTAAGCGTCTGGGCACTTGGCGGCCTGAAGAGAGGTGCGGATCTACACCTATTATCATCCACAACTATACCTACCGTTACATCATAAACGCTCGGTATCTCCCTATCTGGAACTTGGAGCTAACGGGGTGGATACATGACAGATGACCCTCTTGTCCCCCTCCACCTCCTCATTTTTGGTCTTCAGGCCTTCCTTACCTCCACAGTCTGTCTGGTCGAGGTCTGGAGTTGGGCAGATCGCTCTGTAGCCCAAAAGCAGAACATCAGCATGCTATATGGGCCTTATGTCGCTCTTGGTAAGTAGAGATACTGCATACGCCTGGACATCAGTAAGCTGAGTTGAACGGCTGCTAATTAACTCTGATAGGTGCGTTCATGGCACTGGATATGTTCTTTAGACTTCGGACCAGACTCCTAGTCAAGTCCAAGAAGGAGTAAGTCACCACAGTAATCAGTCCCCATAACCCCAATATTCTCCCTTTCCTATTTCAGTGGAGGGCATGTATGCATATAGTATCCAATGCAGGGGGTGTATGTGCTGGGATGATAATCCATAGATCACGTAAAAGAAAATGAAAAAAATAAAGCAAAGGAATGGCAGATCTAAACTCAGGCGTGCATGCGTCTGCAAAGCTGGAAAGTGCACTGTACACAGTACTTTCCTACAGGTGTACTTTGTAGCAGTAGAGGTGTAGACTGGACGGAAATGTTTCGCAGACCAATAAACTAGACCAGTCATTGGGTTCTAGGCCTAGGAAGTTGCATGAGCCTAGTCATGCAAGGACATCAACCTGCCTTATCGTGCTGGACTTAGTGCCGAGGTGTGTGAGTGAGTGAGCTGAAGGCGTAAGGCATACATGCCAACTCGCTAAGTTAGGTGCGGTGGGCTGAAAACCAAAAGTCTCTTTGGGTCTGTGATCTGTGCTCTGTACATTGTACAGGTAGGAATGCATTCCCACTAGATAGTACTTACTGTGTGAAAAGTGTAAATGTGGCAGCAGGACCCGCTACACCGACCCGATCGCTCTTAATGCTGCAGCTGCATGATATAGGTCGGGATGAAGCCCGATGTGAGAAGATGAGGCTTGCGGATTTGGGGGGGGGGGGGGGGGGCAAAGCAGGGATTGTGATTGTTTGCCACAGGGCTGGCTGATAGTATGGAATGATGGCCTCCAAAATATCCTTAGTAAGATTTGGGTGGCTGTTGATGGTGTCTATCTTGCTTGCTAGGTATAGAGTTCCGTGCGGGGACCATGGGAGTGTGTAGGATCACCAGAATGCAATAATAGTTACGTCCGTAGGCTTCATTGTTACAAGGGAAGTAAAATAGAGACATGGGTAGGGAATAGAGCGCCATCGCACAATTTGCGCACAGGTCTCGCTGTTGTGATGATAGATCATATTACAGCGGTACGAAAGTTCCCGGGACTGCTCACCCGGCACCAAGTTTGCCAGCTGAAGGATTCCAAAGCGGTGACATCACCTGCGTCATATCAGAAATCCAATGGCTCCGTCTAGGTCACCGTTGGCTGCGTCTAAAGCTCGCATGGCTTCTTCTCGCGTAAAGCCTAGTTCGGTGATCTTCGCGATGGAGTCCGCCGGCCAGTGTGACTGCGGCGGGGCTGGGCGGGAAGAGGATGCCGCAGAGGCCATGTTGGGGCCACCAGCTGCTTGGCTGCGGCTGGCCTGATGCGTGACCGCACCTGTCCGGGCGCCGACTTCGGCGCCATCGGCTCCCTTGATCATGGGCTCATCCTCGAATTCCTCCTGGAGGTGCTTGGGAATGTCTGCCTCTCCCAAGAACGGGACCGCTTGGTCTTGAATGATGAGTGCACCTCGTTTGAGGTCAATGCAGGCTTGGTGTCTCCTCAACATGTCCAAGCCTAGGAGTAGATCAATGTGCTTTCCCTCCATAACCGTGAAGGAGCATGGAAGAAACATGCTTCCAATCTTGATTTGTGCTGAATGCACCCGACCGATGATGTTAGCTGTACCGACGCCCTTTGCGATTCCCCCATATCGCTGGTCGACGAGTCGCATGATGTTGCACGCGGTCGCACATTCGGGTGACATAATGGTGACCTGTGCGCCGGAATCGACGAATGCGTTGAGTCTATGGCCATTGACCTCGACAGGGATATACAGCATGGTTACGCGACCAAATGCTGTGCTTTCATGTTAGCAATAAGGTCGACACGGAAACCGTTTCGCCCACTTACACTCTGGGTGGTGTTCCATGGCATTGTGGAGGTTTTCCGTTACCGCGTTTTGACGGATAATCTCCTCGATCTCGCGTTGATTCTCGGGGTTGAACGGATCAGCATTCAGCATGGCAATTCGAGCTTCCTTCTCTGCTGCGGCCTGAGCCTCGCGCTGTTGTTGTCGTTGAAGGACATCACGGAAGCGCTGTGCATCGTTGGCCACCTCCGCCAGTTCCGGATTCTGCCGTCGAACAGCCTCGCGCACTTGCGGATTACCGAGAATATGTAGACGAATCGTCTCGGGATCTGGTGTCATTGCCTGTCTTCGCTGCAGGTTTTGTTGGGCAGCAGCAGAGCTGGGGCCCCCAATACTCCGTGGGGGGGCCTGGGGTCTCCGCAGCGTAACCTGAACACCTATCATGTCGCCCTCACCAATGCCAACCTGTTCGAGGGTGCGAGCATCATCGGCGAGTAGTTGATTGTTGTAGAGAATACGTTGGGAGGGAGGAGGGATGGAGGTTTCGCTTTCGACGATGGCTTTGAGGAGCTCGACGGTCATGTCCCCACCGACTTCTAAGGAGAAGATGTCGGCGTCGGCCTGATCCGGACGAATCACGCTCACGGTAATGCGCCTGGATATTGTGAGAGTCTTCGGTTAGCTACATATTCACTTGGTCTCTCATTCTTCCTAGTGATGTGTTCCTCCACGACATACATGATGCTGTGCAGCTCTAGTGCGGGGAAGCTCTCCCAGACTCGGAGAGGGTCAAATCAGGTCGGGGAAACCAGCAAATGCAAGCCCTGGCCAGCTCTGGAGCAAGTTTTCTATCGAGTCTATAGACAGCCAGTAGATCAGGGTCTTTGTTCGGACAGCCTTAGGTGGCCGACGGGGCGAATTATAAATACAGTCACACCAGCGAAGCGATCGACGCGAGCGGGCGAGGGAGGAGGGGGAAAGTGGCGCTGAGAGGGGGAGGGAAAGGTGAGAGGACCGGGCTCCAGACGAGACAGGAGACGGTAGAAGCGAGACGACAGGGTATCCTGGAGATGGGAGAAGCCAGAAGGCAACGGAGTAGTAGTAGGAGAAAGAGATGCAAGTGTAGGACGAGCAAAGGCGGGAGGAGGTGAGGTTACGGTTCCTGGTGAAGTGCAGCAGCGGGCGGAGCACCTCACAGCGGGCCGCCTGATTCGGTAGGCAGCCAGTCATGCGTCATCCGCCGCGACACTCAATACTTACTATAGTAAACTTCCTCTTGTCACCATCCATCCTGCTTTCTTCCCCTTTACTGCGTTCCCATGGTAAAGGGGGTTCGCACGTTGGCTGTGCTATGTCGGGTTTCTCCCTCCTCTCTTCAATTTCCCAAAGCACAGCACATTACCTCAAAGACAACCATCGTACAGGTAAAGCTCTTACTTCCTTCAAATGCTTCCAAGCTACGGTCGCGTTCTAGGCCTTTCTGGGCCCCCGACCATCCATCCATCCAGCAAAGATCCGTCAATCCACAACTCGGGTGGTCTCACCAACCCTCCAATCTGTTGAGCAGTAGCATCCCCGCAGTTCGATGATATTTGCTCCACGAAATCACGCAGGACACTGAACTCTCAAGCAGCGCCTTTTACCATTCATAGCACTACGATAAGAATACCACATGCATGTCCTGTGTGCATGCCCACATTCATCCCCCAGATGCCAGACCTGCTTCCCATTGCGGCCTGATGCCACGAGGTGCAGCCACCGGACATCCTCCAACAGTCATGGAACACTCATCACACAAAAGGACTCTTCCACTCCCGAATATATCCGCGCTCCTCTAGCTCGAGACATGATGACCCCACGGTGCTCGCTAGCTATTCATTGTCCAGTCATCTAGGTGCCCGCTCCTACTACCACTCTTAGCTCGAAGATAATCCATGCCCGTGATTGCCACCTAGCTGCTTACTGCTGGGGACAATACGAGACTAGTGGCCCCAAGGCTCGAAGTCATTCCGGGATTAGGCCCATGAACTCATCCTTGCGACCCCGGTGACATCAGGCAGACAAGGCCTGCACGCCTGCGAGCTATTGCAGAGAAGCCTCAATGTTCGAACCACTCACTTTAGTTTCTATGCAGTTCATACGTATACTACATATTGTACTGCAATCGAGCGGCTTTGTTGCGAGGCCATAGATGCCACCAACACAATTTACAGCACCTTGCCAAGAGGTATAGTCATGACCGGGACATACGTATCGTTCCGGATGATCCATAGACTAAGTGGTCCACTATATTGCTAGTGAGACGGCCGTGCCTTTCACCCATCAAGACTACAACTTGTGCAATTTAGTGCTTAGCATAGCGGACAGCGCCACAGTTGTAGTGCATAGTTCTGACTGAGTCGAATAGATACTTGGTTCATGCTAATTGGCTGATGCGCTTTCCTGATGTGAGTTTGGGTGTTGTCGAGCTGCTAGGTACAATTACCTGATCGTGCTTCCGAGACCTTGGACATGAAGTTTCAGATTATGGGCATTTGAGCTTAGTTTCATACATTCTAGAGGTAGTGTGTTACATAGCTACGACGGTACTAGTCTCATATGGTTCAGTGCGTAAATCAGCTTGAATACTAACTACTAATTAGGTAAGTAGCGATGTATAGGTACGTATAAGCAGGGTGACCCTGAGATATATCAACACACAAAACCAATGGTGCATAAAAAAGAGTATTACTAGTACCGCCATCATCCGGTCCTCGAAACAAGCTTCTCATCAGCACCGTTCACCTTATCTTGAATTCTATGAGATCTGGGGTTAAACATGATACAGAGAAAGTCGGACGATCGATGGCAAAAGTAATATTTCTGTCGATCGAGACCCACTGTTACTTAGACTGATTACGCATACACAGTATCCTTCGCGGACGGAATATAGTGTCCAGGAAAGTAGTATCCGATTATCATGAGCTGATCCAGTTGGACACTTAGTTGTCATCACGAACCTTCAGACGAGGTAATATTGAAGCCTTATTCGTTTATGCTATCATAACCATATATCTAGGTTAATATGATATTTCCTCGTCAGGGGCTAGCTCTTGCCTATGACTGAAGACATTGTTGTGTCCGGCAGTGATGGCACTTGCTGTTATATACAGTCAACAATATCCTCGTTGGTATTCTGGCTTCATTTGAGCTCACGTGCACCATTTAACTAACAGGCGCCTCCTCTTTTCAGAATCGGCCCGATACTGAAGATCTCAAGGGTACCAAAGAAGCTTCATAGAATCCATCTAATCTCATCAGTTTTGCACTGAGGTCACCAATGTCCGGTGACAATACGGCTGGGCTGTTCAGCCTCGACACGGCTTATCAAAGATAGCCACTGAAAAGCACCAAGTCCAAACCCCTGTCAATTCAGTGCTAAGTGGTTAGTGCTTACAGTTAGCCGCTTATGGTAGATGCTAACTAACCTCCGATAACCCCGCCAGCACCCCTCCTCAACTGTCTACAAAGGACTTGTTCTGCTATCAATTGCCATCATCACATCTCCAAATCAGCCCACCAATCATCCATAGCTCCCTGCCTTCGGAAGAAGCTGGCGATAAACCAGATAACTTCGCCATGTCCGACTCGTCTGAATCCATCTCCCTGCAAGTAACAGTCCATCTAAACCCCGAGGACGTGCCGAAGTTCTGGGCCGCTTTCGAACCCGCCTACAAGGCTGTCACTGCTGAGCCCGAATGTACTTTCTTCGAATTATACCAGTCGCTTGATTCCCCGGGAACTATCTCCTGGGTAGAGAATTGGTCTGTCCCGTTCCATTTCTGGCTGCTGGTTGTTTGTCCATGATTTGATGCTAACCTACCATCTGTATACAGGTCCGCGTCAAAAGAATGGCTTATGGGGGTAGGTCTCACCCTTGTCTAAGCATTGGTGACCAGGAGCTGAACTGACTGGTTCTCAAATAGGTCCAATTGGTGAAGCCGTATTATCGTGATTACTTCGCTGCAACGGAGCCATTATTCATAAAGCCTAGAGAGGCTAAGTTGTTGAAGAGAGTGGGGACGCCGTTTACGATGGTGAAGAAGACTAATGGAGGGTTGGTGGACTAGATTCGAGGTTCAGGCAGCTGGAATGAGCGATAACCCAGAGCATTCTCGGCACTGAATGAGACATGAAAACATACTTAAGTTATATACGCTTATTCCTAGTTGACCCTGTTCCATAAAATATGGAGCTCGAAAGTAGTCGCAGCAGTTGAACGCTAGCTTGTACTTGTAGTCATAGTTCACGGTATAGGACACAAAACTGGTATCACATGATCCCAAGCCAGGTCACATCGTTCAAAACAGGTACATTGAACTACTCTGGATCTGCTATCAAAACATACAGGTACAGCAATGCTGACAATCATGACTCCGACCAGCCGTACCTTCCTTTTAACGCGACTCAGTCCTTACTCGATACGTCTCGCGCACGACACATCTGCTACCCCCTCACCTTCAACCACCTTGGCCGAAACAATCTCATCCACAGGAATTTCAGCCAGCCGTGAAATGACATGATGCAGCGTTGGCAATGCTTCCCAGCTGAGCGCATTAATCTCAAAACGGGCGTTCTTTGTCGTCCGGAGCCGAATGATCCTCGATGGAATGTTCTTCTGTTCCTCCTCTTGTGGCACAAGCACGGGGTACTCCGCCTCAGGCTGTCCCTTGTTTGCGCGTCCAACTTGCGGCATGTAGCGGTAGATCAAGTCACCCTTACCAATGTTCTGAGGAGGGTTCATGCTGAAGTCTTGGTCCTCCAGGTCTTCCAAGTGGAAGTGACCCCATACGGCGCCTTCCCAGCTAGTCGTGAGATGGTAGGAATTGGTCCGCTCGTGTGCCTCAATGGCAGTGTACAGCTTGGGCATGCCGAGCTCTTCGCGACCACTCACGATCGGATCAGTCAGACTTTCGAAGAGAATGGGCAGGTACAGCCCTTTGACCACTTCGCCGTCTGTTTTCTTATACTGCACGCCCTCGATGTAAAGGCCGAGGTGACGGTAGCCGCCACCGCCGAGCCAGTCCATGCCGTGAAGTCTCGTTTGCGAGAAGCTGGCATAGGCCACAGTGCTTGGGTCAGTGAAAGAATACCTCTCATTAGGAAGGAGGTTTTGCAGCAGCGTCCGACTAGTTTTGAATCGGATTGACGCCGTCTGGAATGTTGACTTGAGCGACTTCTGGACGCGGTTTCTGCCCCACCAGTCTTGTCTGGGGCCGGGCATGGGGCCGAAGACAATGGGCTGTCGCCAGTATTTGGCCGGGAGTTTGCTCCAGAGGTGCTTACGCAGCACCTGCGTGGAGTGGTCGAATTCGTCATGGCCGTAGATATAGTCGGTCATTGCTTCCACTGTGGAATGTTAGCTATGTAAGATAAACCCATGTGCTGATACTGACTCGTCTCCATTGATTGCGGCTTAGAAGACTCTCGTGTCATCTGCTGCACAGTGCTGGCTCGATTGTGACGAGCCTTCTCATACAGCTTCAGCCGTTCTGGTATCTCCTCGCGGGTCACATCCCGGGACAGCATGACAGCCAGGGAAACGCCATCCTCAATGGCCATCGCTCCTCCAGATGCACGATATGGCAAGAATGGATGCGCTGCATCTCCGATGATTGCAAGTCGGTCATCAATCCAGGTGGGAAGAGTTTCCATGTCCAACAAAGGCCACACTCTTAGGGTGTAAGGATCAGCCTTGGCTAGCATCTTGAGAACCTGGGGATTGAAATCCTTGAAAACTTCAAGAAGCGCCTCCTTGCTAGCTTCTTGGTTCCAGTCAGAGGATGTGTTGATAGTGCTCATTGTGTCGGGGTGGATGCAAACAAAGTTCAGCAACTCATTGTTGGCACAAGGGTATATGACCACACGCTTTTCATCAGAATCCCACATATCCACTGAACCGTATACCTCAGCAAGTGAACGAGTCTCGGGATCTTCCAGGGCATCTTGGCGCTTTATAAGGAAGCGGAATGCGTTCTTGCCAGAGCTAAAAGGCTTAATGTCCTTTGCGAAAGGCAATTTCGATCTCGCAAGGGAGTGGACACCGTCTGCTCCGATAAGGACATCACCCTTGAAAGTTCCCCCGTTTTCAAGAGTCACCGTGGCATTCTTTGGGTCAATGTCTACAATCTTGCTCGATGTGTGCAGCTGAGCTGGTATACCGGGCCCAGGTGCCTGAGAGGCAACTTTCAGAGCTTCATGCAGATGGGCTCGGTGAACAAGTGTCCATTTCTATCAAGCGTTATGACGATTGAGTGCCAAGCAGGAGGAGTTTACTTACGTGTCTCCATTTGTCTGCATGCGCTTTATTGTCGACTATACCCAGAGGCTCTCCACCAGGAGTGTATATGCGTAACTGGCAAGGTCAGAGATGATCTTTCGGTTAGCGAGCAAGCATGGCAGCGGGTACCTGCTCAGTTTCTACAGCCCCAAACTTGGTGCCGTCGATCCCCAATCTAAGCAACGCAGAGTTTGCATTGGGTGTAAGATGAATCGCTGCCCCGATTTCGTTTGCAAAGCGGGAGCGTTCAAACAACTGCGTCCAAGTTTTAGTCTAACTTAATGTCTACACCCTGAAGTTCGGATGCAAGAGTAACTGACCTCAACACGGTGACCTTGTTGCCTGAGAGCGATGGCAGTGGCCAGGCCTCCAATACCAGCGCCGGCAATAAGAATGTGAAGGCCTCCTTGGGCTGTGCGTGGGTCAATGCTCCCCATTGTTGCAGATAGGGCAGTGTATCTCGTTTGGCTAAAGGTTGCAGACTGGGGACACACTGGTTATCTCGCCACTTAAGAGCGGAGTGTTGCCATGACATACTACACAATTATATCTTTCGAGACAACCCCATGATTTCATTCACCCCCCACAAATTGCCAGGATGAGTCATTTGTGTCCACCGTTAATGCCGGACGGATTTTGGGGTCTGGAATCGTGATTTCAATCCTCGGCTCAACAACTTCGGCTCCACGTTCGGGGGCGGATGCAAGGGAACCGTTGAATGGCGCAAAACACCGTGAGGGGTAGATAACGACGACCTATTTATCACACCGATTTTGAGTTCATTTGTTACACATTGTTTTTACTTCCTCGCTATTGACCCTCTATTTTCTTATTATTTTTATTTTTATTTTTATTTTTATTTTTTTTTTTTCGTGAGATACAGTATCACCATCATGCCGAATCCCATCCGCGAAGACATCACTACCCGGGATGATACATCCTTCCCCTACATCTTCGAGCAAAATGTCACCATTGCTTTGAAGGATAAATCAGGTCTTGTCCGATGCAACGTCTACCGGCCCAAGGAGCTGGAAAAGGCCCCCGTGCTAGTCACTTACGGCCCCTACGGCAAAGATATTCCATACTCGGACTTCCATCCGAAGTCATACAGCGAAGTCAACCCTGAGCATCACTCTGCCCATTCAGCCTGGGAGACTCCCGATCCTGCCTTCTGGACTAAGCATGGCTATGCTGTTGTTCGGGCGGATGAGCGAGGCACTGGCCAATCCCGCGGAAAGCTGGACACCATGTCCCGTGAAACAAGCGAGGCTTTCTTTGATGTGGTCGAATGGGCAGCTGAACAGCAATGGTCCACTGGTAAAGTAGGACTGCTCGGAATTAGTTACTATGCTGGAAGTCAATGGAGAGTCAGTGCGCGGCAACCCAAGGGCCTGTCGTGTATTATCCCGTGGGAGGGCATGTCCGACTACTACCGTGATCGTTGTCGCCACGGAGGTATCCTTTCGAACGCCTTCATCAAATTCTGGTGGGACCGCCAGGTCGTCTCTAACCAGTACGGCCGGCCTGGTCGTGCTGCCCGTAACTGGGGTCCTGATACCATCGAGGGTGATCTTCCCGAGGAGGAATTGGAAGCGAACCGTCAGGACCAGACAATCGACAACGTCAACAACCGATTCCGCGATGATATATACTATGCTAGTAAGGAGTACACTATGTCCGATATTCAGGTGCCTCTTCTGTCCGTGGCCAACTGGGGTGGCATTCTGCTGCACTTGCGGGGTAATGTGGAGGGTTGGACCCAAGCAGGCAGCGAGTTGAAGTATCTGCGCTTCATCACCGGTCGCCATGACCTGCCTTTCTACTATTCGGAAGAAGTGGAAGTCCAGCGCAGCTTCTTAGACGCCTTCCTCAAGGGCGAGGATCGAGAGGGATGGTCCACTGGAACAGCCCCGAAGGTTGATCTGGTTCTCCGCAAAGGAGACGTCGGATTCAACAACGCTGAAGCAGAGAAGCAATTCCCTCGCCGCACTGAAAATGAATGGCCCATCGCCCGCACCCAATACACGCGATACTATCTGACCTCGAAGCAAGAGCTGATTACCACTGCTCCGCAAGAGCGCCCGGTCAAGATCACTTACCCTGCTCTTGGCAATCTGGAGAACCCGCAACTGGTGCAGTTCACCACTCCGCCATTTGAGAGCGAGACAGAAATCACCGGACACATTGTCGCGCATCTCAATGTGTCGATGAGCCCCCAGCCAGGCTCTCCCACTCCGCAAGATATCGACCTTTTCATCACGCTGCGGTACATCTCGCCCGAGGGCAAGGAGGTGTTCTACACCGGCACAGCTGGAGACCCAGTGCCTCTCTGCAAGGGCTGGCAGCGCGTCAGTCTGCGCAAGACAGACCCTGAGCATCCTCGCCACCGTCCCTGGCTGCCCCATCGCAATTATTACTCCACGGATGTGCTCCCGGTCATTCCGGGCGAGGTCTACCCGGTCGATGTGGAGGTGTGGCCGACCAACGTCGTAGTCGAGAAGGGAGGAAAGATTATCCTCGAGGTCGCATCTGGCGACACACAAGGAAGTGGAATATTCCAGCACAATTCTCCTGTAGACCGGTAAGTTTCTCCCAGATTGTACTAACGACTACATTGCTGACAGAGACAGATCCCCGGAGCGATTCCACGGGCTCAACCATATCAACTTCGGCCACGGAGATAACTATGTCACTTTGCCGATTATCCCCCCGCGGGGCTGGCTGGAGGAACTCCGCAGGAAGTAGATCATAACTTAGATGAGATAATTAGGAACTGAATTTCATTCTGTAATGCGAGAGCCGAATAACCGATTGAACCACCTTCTTGACTCCATCGGGATGTGGTCCCGATGCCATCCTCGTCCGTATACTGTAGTATAGACCCAGCATTATATAGCAAACAGCATCCCATCCAAAGCAGTATACCAACCCCAAACCAAACAAAGAACTCCTCATTACATTCCAATTCTAAACCCAAACACAACAAGCACCACCCAATTACCCCCCAAACAAACACCGCCAAAATGACCAACACCAAAAACATCCGCCCCCTCTCCCGCTACATAACCACCCACGACCCCGCCACCAACAAAGCCATCTTCTCCACCACCCTCTCAGAAACAATGCCGGTGCAACAAATCCAAGACTCCGCCAACGCCCAATTCTCCCTCGCCTACACCACCGATTCCTTCCCGGCAAACCTCACCGACGAGGCCGACATCCCCGCCTACGCCTCCTACCTGACCAACCCGCCCGGGATCACCATCTCCACGGGCTCGGTGTGTCGCATTGTGGATATGCCGCCGCATGCGCTGAGCCCGATGCATCGCACGGTGTCGGTGGATTATGGGGTTGTGTTGGAGGGGGAGGTCGAGCTGGTGCTGGATTCGGGGGAGACGAGGTTGTTGAAGAGAGGGGATGTGGCGGTGCAGAGAGGTACGAATCATGCTTGGAGGAATGTTACTCCTGATGGGGAGAATGGGGAGGGGAGCTGGGCCAGGATGTTGTATGTGTTGTTGCCTGCGAAGGGGTTGGGAGAGGGGTTGAAGGAGGATTTGGGCGGGATTCAGGTTAGGGATAGTACTTAGACTTCTTTTTTTCTAGGGTTGGGGGGGAAGGGGGATGAGATAGGTGGTGGGTTGGTGGTTGATATAGGGTGTATTTAGAGTGCTAGATGGAATGGAAGGATGTCTATAGCTGTCATGCAGATACATAAGAGGTTGAGAGTCTAGATACATTAAGAGATCTGTGAGCGCGATGTTTCTGATAGGATGCTGGTTATTGACCTATTATCGTAAATCAAATGCTGATCTGGTACTATATCGTTACTGTTCACGTCGTACATTTGCTATAGGGGTAGAAGGTAGTTGCTTGTAACTTGATATTCGTAGCATATAAGCTATTGATATAGCGTATAGGTAGTACAATACATTTGGTATATGTTAATAGAACGCATAACCGAATTTAAATCAGACATAAACTATACTAAATCACCACTCTCCTCCAACTTCATAATGGAAGATCTTATCGTTAATCCTTCCCCCAGTAAAGCGCCAGAGACGCGCAACAGACTGCATATATATCAGAATTATCCAATATGAAGATTTAGCATAGGTACTCACCGCATTCAACCACACCCCATGCAACATGGTTTGGATAAACATATACTCCACGGGACTCGTCCCAGCCGATCGCTCTTCGTAGCTCAAGTTCCGATTCACAGGTCGATATGAAGGGATACGTCTATAGTGCGAAGGCCAGTCCACAGGCTGGAATACAGGGACAGCATCACGAGGAACCCGGGGCTGAGGCTGGGTCTCTGAGCCGGTGTGGTGGATCTCGTAGTCGGAGAGGATAGAAAGCGTGCTGGCGTCAACAGCCCTAGATGCAGTTGTAGTAGTAGTTGTAGTTGTAGACGACATGATGGAGATAATATCTTCGAGTGTGTAACAAGCACTTTCACAGACAATAACAGCAATTAGAACGGATGATGTTCCTCTTGACTAGCGGTGGATAGTGCACCGAACTGACCTGCATAACAAAAGGGATGTGCTGTTCATCCCATCCATCCCTTGCCTCCTCCACATCCCGAACGCCCAGACTCAACCCAACGCCTCCCTCCATCTTTCCCCCATATTTCCCCCGCACACTCTTCCACTGTCCGCATGATCGGATCACTAGCTGGGGCCATACTGCCGAGGAATAAGCTGTGTCCACATCGCGTGTTTGATGGTGTGACGTGATTTCGGCTTAACCCCTGCTACTATATCCATCTAGATTCCAGACCTTGGTGTTACGGAGTGCCACCAAGCACGCTTACCACCTACGCACAATGGTCGCAACACAGCCTTTCCAGCGCATTGTCGCTGCTGAGATAGACGGTCGCTGTTTGAATATCAGATACCGTCAGAACCAATTTCACCGTCTACAGTCTATTCTCGTACAGAATATCGAGCAGATCAAGGATGCGATCGCTGCCGACTCGGGAAATTCGTCGGAGGAGGTTCGCGCCGAGATCTGCCTTGCCTTTAAAGAAATTCGCACACACTATGCTTCGCTAGACTTGAAGAAAGACCTCGAGGAGGAGTATCGCGTTGCCAATGGCAAAGATAATCATGATGGGAAGCGCGGTGCCGGAATCGTCTATATTGTTCCTTCTTCGCATACTATGTTTTTCTCTGGTGTTGCGGCGCTGAGTGCTGCTATTGCGGCCGGGAACTGTGTGATTCTTGAGGTGGGCTCAACACCACGAGTTATTTGGCTTAATGCTAACTTTAATAGTTGACGAAAACCACCATGGCCGTACCGGGTGTGCTCAAGAAGATCCTGCCTCAGACCCTGGACGCAGATACATTCGCTATCAGCGAGGAGAGACCAGACACTGCATTCCTTAACAAAACACATATCATTGCACAAAGTGACTCTGTCTCTCCTTCTTCCAACAGCCTTTCTTCTCCCACTTCAGCCAGAACCGTCGCCATTGTCGACCGCACAGCCAACATCTCCGCTGCAGCGGATGCGCTAGTGTCCGCGCGATTCGCTTTCGGCGGTCGCTCCACTTACTCTCCTGACGTTGTCCTCATACAGGAGTTCGCCATGAAGGAGTTCGTGGAAGCTATCATCCAGCGATCATCGAAGTATCTAGCAGGTCAAAATGGAGACGCTCGTCAGACGGCCGTCAATCCGCGACGATCGAGCTCGGGCGCTTCGTTGCTCGATGCAGCGTATAAAGACGCCAGCGCACGGGTGATAGTATCTGGTTCCGAATGGGGTGTAGTTGAAGTGCACGACCGGTAAGCTCTATACCTCCATCCATGGAAGAATCATGCTGACAGCTTAGAAAATCGTCTCTTCTGCAAAAGAAGGTATCCGAGAAGGTGCTCGTCCTGCATCCGGTGACTAGCCTGGACGATGCTATTGATTTTAGCACGTCGTATGTCTTTACCCACTTACCCAGCCGTATTCCAATCAGCCCAAAGCTCACCGAAATCTAGCATGGGAACCCTAGCAGCAACATACGCCTTCTCCGCCCCCGCAGCAGCCAAATACCTAACCCAATTCATCGACTCCTACACCTCTTATATCAACCACGTTCCCGTCGACATGCTCAGTAAGTTTCCCACTCCCTTCCCAGCCCTCTACAGGAATCACTAACAAGACCAGTCGGCCCCGCATACCCCATCAACCAAAAACCCTCGCGCGAAACTCGCTACTCAGTACCATCCCTGCAGGTCCCGCGACCCCAATTCGTAACGGAGACCAGCAACACCGCTCTGGTTCGAGACATAGTGAGCAGCTACGCATCCAAGTCCAACGACGCATTGCGTGAGGCGTTGGTGCCGCTGCTCGCTATCGGGCAGCGCAGCGGCAAGGCAATTGGGTTCTTTGAGCAGGGGATTATTACTGGTGGGGTGATCACACTGTTTACGTTTGTGGCGAGTCTCTCGACGATAGGGATTTATGGGTATGCAGCTGTGAGAAGGTGGAGGGGGTTATGAGTGGTGTTTTCCTTTATGTGGAGTAAATTGGTATGCATGTGAGTTAACACTGTTGTGATCTTGGGTCAGATTTTGTACTTGTGAGATATGAGACTTGGTGTCATTATGTGTGAATACTGTTTGGAAGGAGATGGTATCCGGGATTATTGGCTAGTATGATAAATTCATCTCGTCTTCCAATAGTTTTGCAGTGAGGTAGACCAAGACGATTGGTTGGTCAAAAATGACCGTGATCCTCAGTCTTTACAAAGCTTCGATGACCAAGCGTCTAATCACAAGCTCATATTAATACATCTATTATGCTATCATTCAGCTAAGAGTCAAGCAGCCACAAGTTTTTGCTCTGGCCACTTCCCAAACGTAAACTGCAAATTAGCCATATTACACAACTCCCAAGTCTCCGCGCCCAAGACCCCGTGACAGCCCTCATCCTCCGCATCCCCCGCCGCTCCCGCCACAAAAGCCGCCGGCACGAAATGATCGTCTGTACCGTGCGCGTCGCGAAATTGTGGATGCTTCATGAGCCTAGTTACCGCCCGCTGCAGCTGCAGTCCCGATGTCTTCGTCATCACATCCTCCAGGGATTGCTTGAACTCTAGTGCCCATTCCTCCGGGGGGATCTCCTGGGCTAGGGAATCACGATGTTTGACCATGGGTCCCCATCGATTGCGGTAGAGATTATGGACTGATCCTCCTGTGCCTATGAGGAGGTAGTTCTCCTTTCGGAGTTGGCGCAGTGTCTTTCCTATTTTCAGATGGTAGTGCGGATCGTATCGCGCGTTACTGGATATCACTGTTACCGGAGGGGGATTCCCCCCTGGGAACATCTTTTGGATAATGGTGAACACGTCTACTATCCAGTTGTAGTTGGGGTTGCCGGATACATTGAACCCTTCTGCTTGGAGGAGGTCGATGCATCGTTGTGCGGTGGCCAAGTCAGATGTCATTTGGTAGGTCTTGTAGTCGTTGCTCGGGACGATACCTATGGGGCTGATCTGGGGAGCGGGGTTCGTGGCCACTTCGATGCCGTCTCCTAGTGTTGCCCAGTGGGAGCTCTGATTTGGTCATCATTGGGTGTTAGTTAGTGTCCGTGGGGGGTGGATGTCTTTTCCCCAATCTGGGTAGTGTAGAGTGACGGGTGGATCCGCGTGTTTATGGTGTAGGATGGTAGAAGACGCACCAGCATCACAATTCCTCTCACATTGTGTGCTCGTGCTTCATCGCCACATTTGCGCCAGTAGTTGGAGCATTCGGTCGTTTCGTATATCATCATCGGAGAGCCATGGGAGAACAAGTGGACCGGGGTGAGGCCTAGTAGCTAGCGGCATGAGTGGATCTGCTATAGCTGCTGCCAACTGGGGTCCGGTCGGGGTCTTGCGGACATACCCATTTTGTGCCATCCGGCTTCGGCTTTCATCGTTCTTGTGGGGGTGATGGTACTTCCAACAATGGACTGGTGAGTAATAGGATCTGGACTAGTCTGGGCCTGTTAGTGTTGGTAGCTGGAGGAGATGGATCATCCAGGATGGAGACCCAGGAAGGGGCCTCGGTTAGGGTCCTCCACATCCCGAGCACGCTGTAAGGGTCCAAAGGCAATTGATAAGCCACCTCACTGGTCATCGCGAGGGACCATCCCTTTCACTTGCCCATCTGGCTGACCGGGAGACGCGTGCTCGTAAAACTCGTCTGCCTATACTAGCTGGTTGATCGCCGGTAGTATTCGGGTTGCATTCTTGCACATCCTGAATGAACCATATATGAGAAAAGAAACCCTGCACTTCCTCTGCCGCTTAGTCATGGCGCCATCCAGGGCTGGAGCCAACTTTATGGCGCAGTCCGAGCAGCAGAGTGGCCAGCCCCATCCTCGCCTCTCTGCGAAATACGTAGACACTCTTCAAATTGGTTTAGTTCCCAGGGAAAGATAGCCTGAATAATGAACTAGTCCCTACTATCCCTCTGGATATCCCAATCATGGACCCCGTTCCCCGCATTTTGCCATCCCGGGCTTGACGCTTGGTGACTTCCCCACACTGTCCGTCATTCCAACTCACTTTCAGTCTATTTGACACTATTTCCTCTTCTTCACCTCATCATCCCTTCCATCTCAATCTCTAGTTTTACCAATGTATCGCCTCCATCATGCTCGATAAGTCCTCTCCATCATTCCCCGCGCAATCCCCATCACGACCACTCCCTAAAGCGCGCGATGGATATTTTCAATGTGGGTTCTGCAAAAAGCACTACAATCGGGCAGATCATCTAATTCGGCACGTCCGGTCGCGTATGTCGCTCTCTTGATGCCCACGTACCTCTTCTTTTCTAACTCTATGTGCAGACACCCGCGAGAAACCATACGTTTGCCATGTGTGTAACAAAGGCTTCGCCAGGCCGTACGTCCGTCCTCATCCGTCGCTGCCATCCTCTCTCTCTCTGGTTCTGACCGCTCCGCATCAGGGACTTGATGAAGCGACACGCTGCAGGTCATGACCATCCGCGAGATGGCAAGCGCAAACGTCCCCCGTCCTATGCGAAGAGCGGTCGGGTCTCCCAGGCGTGCAAAGCATGCGCCACATCAAAGCTCAAATGCGACGAGGAAAAGCCTTGTCGGCGTTGTCGGGACAAAAAGCTTATTTGCGACTGGCACGACGCCGGATTCGATGAATTGACCCCGGGGTCACCGATGCAAGGTTGGATCATCTGGGAAAAGCCGGTATATCCGATAACTGAGCGATTTAGGGTACGATGACCCTGATGGCCAAAGCCAGTATCCCGAGCCACCTCAACCGCATGCCGCGTTCTCGCCAACAATACCGCCAATGGGCGACTACCCAGCTACTATCGATAATTCTTCATTTACCACCCCTGACTTTGCTGTAAACAACTATTTGCCTGACCCGCCCGACCCCGCTCCTGAGAATCCCCCGTCGACCAACTATGGCGGTAAGTTCTGCCTATATCGTAATTAAAGTGCAGCGTGTGCTAATCGAGCTTCGCCGAAGCAATATCACCCGCGTTGGATCATGAAAGTGGTATCTTTAGTGTCGATGGAACCTTCTTCCCCGAGTTCATTCCCGATGCTCTCATACCATCCTTATCCCGTCCGAACGAATTAGATCCACTGAATGCCATGAACCCTACGCCAGACTACCGCCATAACCTTTTCAATACCAACATGCAGTTTGATTTCGATCTGACTGAAGTCGACTTTGGCCTGATCGACTACTTCAATTCCCAGGGGCTATCACACCTTGCTCCACAGCCCCCCGATGCACCCAACGATCGGTCCGACGTGGATAGTAGGATCGCGCTTGGTGCTGAGGCCTACAAACGGTCATCACTGTCGGCATGGAAACCTGCACAGCATGACCATGTCTTTGCTGACCAAGATAATCTATCAGTCCCAGTGGTTATGGATAGCCCAGGGTCCAGCATCAGAGGAGAGCGGCAGATCCTACCTGAGAGACTCGCCCCGGGTAGTCGCGATCTCATATTCGGAATGGTCTTGCAGACGAGCGAAAAAGCCATGATTCCACGTATAATAAAGTCATTCCCGAGTACTGAGCTGTTAGATGGTCTTATACAAGACTATTTTGCCTACCAAAGCCAAAAGCTGGATCCATTCATACATGGTCCGACGTTCTACCCCAATGAACAGAGCTCCGGCATGCTAACAGCTCTTGCTGCCTCTGGCGCGGTCCGCTCGGCTATCCCCACCATCCGTAAACTGGGCTACGCGTTGATGGAAGTTGCACGCCTAGACATGTCGACTACGGTACATCTGCCTTATAGGTGCTTATTTGACAGATGCTAATGTTGGGCAGTTCGAGTCGGACAACCGCATCACACGCCATCTTCGGCCTTCGCAAACATTCGCAGTTGTCATTGACATTGGTTTATGGAGCGGCAATGGTCGAAGGACGGAAATAGCGGAAAGCTTCCAACAACCACTGGTGACGGTCAGTTCACACCTACACTAGATATGACGTCGCTAACGATGGGGTCAGATGCTTCGACGGGCGTTACGTTTTCGCCGGACTATCTACACAACTATTGTGCCAAGTCCTGAGGACAACGAGGAAGAGCTGGAGAAGAAATGGCACGCTTGGATCGAGCAGGAATCTTTCAGAAGGTGAGACAACTTTTCATTGTCCTAGACTTAAACTGACACGTCCAGACTTGTCCATCATCTATTTTTACATGACGCTCAGTGTGCGATGATGCTGAATGTCAGTCCACTCATATCGTACGCTGAATTAGAGCTTCCGCTCCCATCCATCCGCGCACTATGGGACGCCAAGTCAGCAGCAGCATGGAGGGATGCCTACCTAGACCTTGGATTACTTTCAACCGAGCGACAGCCGTCTCTACTCGAGGCCATGCGGGACATGTCCCGGTTACAAGGCGCTGTCGATTTGCAGCTGGCCGGTTGCATCCTCCTCCATGGCTTTTCGGCTATGGTGAACGAGTACCACCGGTTTAGCTTTATTTCCAAGGGCAACTCCAAGCATTGGAATGCATTAGTGACCAACTCGCGACACCAGGAGTTAGCACAAGCTTTGCAGCACTTTCGCATGATCTGCTACGAATGGCCCAATTTCCCCATCCCCGAAGTCATCCTAATATACGAGATGATCTCAATGTTACTTTACATGTCCCTAGAGGACCTCCAGCTATTCGCCGGAAAGGAAGACAAGAGCGAGGCAAGACGAGTCTACCACAGTGCACTCGAATGGATCAGCAGCATCGACTCGCGACGTGCTGTATGGCATGCCGGCCAAGTCATCCGGGCAGCCAAAGCCATACCGGCGGGGTCTGTGACCGGCTTCCTAGCGGTGGGAGTGTACTATGCCAGCTTGGCCTTTTGGTCATATAGCGTGGTTCTCAAAGCCAAGAACAATAAAATGGGGGGCTCGGAAAACCGCCCGTTGGGTCCCCCTTCCACCATCCGCGGCCCAACGATCTATCTCGACGGAGACGAGACCACCGACGTGCAGAAATTCATCTCTCTCGGATGTGGCAGTCCCGCATTGCAGGGCCGACAAGGTCCTGCGTTCGTCTCTGATCCGGGACAGACTATGGACCTCACTCAGGAGCTTCTGCGGGCAGATGCTTCTCAGGATGCGCTTCCCCCGTTGGTTCAGGGGTTGTGCCAGTTGATGAATGGTCTGGGTAATGCTGCTAGATCTGGTACTTGAGAAGATTATGTGTAATTATGATGAATATGATGTACGATTGGCGCGGCTTGGTGGTGTGTTAGCTTTCAGTAGTATTAGTGGTCTACACGATCGGATATATCCCAGTATATGGCATTTGACATATCCAGTGCCATAATTAGTCCCTACCTCAAGCACGAGGCTTGGAATCAACGATCAGAAAGAAGGAAGGGAACTTGGTGATTGACGTTCTACTACGATCTGTTTCTCTAACATACTGAAACATGAGAGGAACTAATGATCGTCAGAGAGGTCACTAGTTGATACTACTACTAAGTACTACTTGTAGTGTCTCAATTCAACTTAGTAGTATACTAGTACTACTATTCTACTACTAGTATGGTCGCAGGCTATTTTAATTCTAAACAACAGCCGTACTACTATACTAAGTTGGTAGTATCATATATATTTGTTCATACTTACTCCGCAACGGATGAAATCTATAAAATGGGAGACACCGTCTTAACACAGTGTTGGAAGTTTATTGCATGAACTTCGTGTGATTATAAAACTATATATATTATTTAACAGTTTAGTAGTTAAGCACTACAGTGAACGAAGAAGCCGTCCTGATGATCTAGTAGTATAGTGGTAGTAGGTAGAGGTTAAAACAAACTGTGCCCGCCCGCATCAATTGCACACACAAAAAGAAAAGCAAATACACAAGGTTATTGAGGGAAAATTCAATCATAAGTAGAAAGAGATGGAGAAAAACAAAAAGAGAATTCGAACTCCGATAGGGGGAATCGAACCCCCGGCTGCCGTGTGAGAGACGGCGATGTTAGCCACTACACCATATCGGATGTTGTTGAATTCCACATGGATTCTTTGCTTTATTAGGTAGCAGCTACTTCAGAGACTAATTGGGTCTCGGTTTTTGTATGAAGACCAAATTTATAACATCTTCATATCAAATAGTTTTGACGTTTAGTGCGATAGGGGGGAAGATCAAAGCAGATGTGCCCTTTTTCTTTTTACGAAAGGTCCCTGCGGGGAGTGCGTCGCGCTAATGCAGTGAACACGTGGGGTGGTAGGGATCTTCGCGGGTGTTTCTTTTACCATTTTCTACTAGTAGTGCCTACAAAGTAGTCTACTGTTAGTTGCTATGGGAAGATGTGCCATGGGATTATTACTAGCATTTACTGTATGCGATCGTGTCTATGATGTGTGATGTAGTGATGTGGATGGTACAATTTATATTTATACCGGGGTCAAAGGTAATTCGCGGAGGTATATATACACGACCGGGCCTTGGGTGATTGCGACAA